GCGAGAGAAATACCACACTTTGCAAGAAAATGCTCGCCTTACCTACGCCGGGATTCAACCCCTGTCTGGCCTCTAGTAGGCTGTGGGGATACCCCTTGGTGGACAGGGGCCTCAACAGATGGGGGTGTAGCTCAGGGGTAGAGTGTTCGCTTCGCATGCGAAATGTCTAGGGTTCAAATCCCTACTCCTCCACTTTTATTCCCACCGGTGGACTGATATATGAATTGCCGTATGCGTAGGCCGGGAACCCCGTTCTGTTGTTGTTGATCTCCCTATCTTTTTTTTTTTGTGTGTTCATCATATCAGCGCTCACAGCTCACAGTCTTTGTGCTGGACAGGAGCTCCAATCCGTGGTCAGTCACACAACAGAAGGGTGCCTCTCCCTCCACCCCTCCTGCGCTTCTTGCCTTCGATTTTTGACGCATTAACATTTGCGCAATACTCTCTTCCCTCCAAGTGTACACATGAACACTTTCCACTACCAGGAACGGCAGAGAGAGAACAATAGTTTTTGCGAGAAAAAAGGTCGCCCAAGGCGGGATTCGAACCCCTGGCCCTGGCCACTATTTAGAACCATGCGAGAAGAGAAGTGGCCAAAATCGGGTACACCCGGTCCAAACACGGCCATAATCGGGTACCCCTAGAAGATGCTGATGGGCGCGACCGCATGACACCGTCTGATTGGCCGACGCCAGCCCCTACCCGACCTTGACCGTCTTTCCACCGGGTGCACCCGATCTTGGCTTCTCACCCCCCGGAGGAGTACCCGGTTATTCTTTCCCCTACCTGAAAATGGCGGGACTGTTCGGCGAAAATCCACATGCACACAATCACGGGTAGGACGCGCACTGCTGGCCGCTCCTTTGACACCAATGAGAAAGCAGCAGGAAGCAGAGAATATGTCTATTTTTTAGATGCGTCTCGTGTGTGTCGCATCTCGTGAGTGAGGCATTCATCCACAGCTCTGCTCGATCATTTGCACCGACACCCTGCTTGATGCTGTCTCCCCCAAGCGAGAGTTCCACCGCCGGCGGTGGGTCCGCCCCCGCCCGCCTTCAGAACGTCCGAATTCGAGGGGAAGGCATCGCTGACATGTACTTGTGGGTATGGGGTTTGGCCCAACAGCTTAGCCATTTTCGGGTAGGCGAGAGTAAGATCGGGTATCCCTCCGGGGGGCGAGTAGCCAAGATCCGGTGCACCCGGTGGAAAGATGGTCAAGGTTAGGGGCGGGCGTCGTCCAATCAGATGGTGTCATGCGGTCGCTTCCAGCAGCATCTTGTGGGGGTACCCGATTATGGCCGTGTTTGGACGGGTTGTACCCGATTTTGGCCACTGCTCTTGCGAGAATACCAACTGTGTACGGGGCGACCGCAATACTCGTGCAGCGACGCCAACATGTTGGCAGATGGGGGTGTAGCTCAGGGGTAGAGTGTTCGCTTCGCATGCGAAATGTCTAGGGTTCAAATCCCTACTCCTCCATTTTTTTCCCCCCTGCGCACTACTGTGCACTGATATTTCTGTACTCTTTTTTTGGGGGGGTTGATTGTATGTAGCGAAGACATACACCAAGCGGACCTGGTTCAGTTTCTCGTAGTACACCCACTGCAAAGACTTCAACGCGTCACCTTGAGTGTGGTATTATCTCGAACGGGTAGTGTTCCTTTGATTTGTTATATATTTTCTTAAATATCTAGACTATACCCCTGAATATTGTGGAAAAACCATGGCACACACATTTCATCGTGTGCGCTCGGTATTGCTCCGCGCTCGGTATTGCTCCGCGCTCGTATCCATCCAGGCCCCCCTAAAAGTTAAAAAAAAAGTAAGGCATACCAAATTGCATCGTGTGCACTCCGTGGTGCTCTGCGGTGATGTCCATCCAGGCAGCCGAGGTTGAGCTAAGGATTCGGTCGGAGATTCACATGCAGATCGACGGAGAGCCGTGGAAGCAGGCCCCGGCCAAGGTCAACATCCAGCACTACGGGCAGTCCACGTGTCTGCGCGGGCATCGACAGTAACGGTGATGGTTGTGGAGAAAAGACTACCGCCGGGTGCTGTTGTGCGCGAAGAAACATTACTTCTCCTGCTTTTTGTTTTTTCTGTATTGTCTTGTCTTGTCGTCGTGTTATGGGTCTGCTTCCCGTGTGTGGGCGGCCGTACCGACACGCGGCTTTTGCCACCCCCCTCCCCGCCACGCTGTCTGCATACGGAGGCGTTCAGAGAAGCGGAAGAGTTCTGTTCTCGTGTGTTTGAATGTGCGATTTTGCGCGAGGATGGTGCGCGTGCATGCGTGTGCCCTCCTCCCCCGCCCCCCCAACAAAGAGGTAGTAACAGTTTCCGTAGAGGAAGGTTAATCAGTGTGTTGTAGCAAACTTTTGTTGCTGTCGTGACGAACAATGGTACGTCTGGACCGTCGTGTTTGACGTCCGACGAACTTTGTTCGACGTTTGTATCTGTATGCATGCCTTCTCTTCGTCGTTACGTCTCGCGAGATATTACCAGCAAGCTTTATCGTCAATTTGTGGTCGGCGGCCTCCATGAGTGGGAGGCACTCCCATGCATCGTTTTCTTTATAAAGCAGGAGGTGTTGGGGTCCCAGTGGCGTGGTAGTGGGGGGGTGCAATATCCGACCTCGGCAGGGTAAGAAGGCCGTGTGCGGGAGAGTGTTCTGTACAGTCGGTGGTCCTCAATAGCGGTAGGCGGCGACAAGAGGTTTTGGTGCCGTTAGAGAGGGCAGTGCCGCTATTCCTTCTTGAGATTCGTCCTGAAAAATGCATTTGTGCCAAGCGATTTCGGTGCCGCGATAGAGGGCATTCCGCTTTTTGAGGGCACCGTTAGTGAGCACCGCCGACTGTACTGTGTAGGTGTAAGCCACCCACTCCCATGGAACGCTCGCACGGGATGCGCGCGCTTCCACTCTTATATGGCGAGAGCGGTGGTGCTTAGGGCTCTGGGCGTGGATTGAGGGGTGAGGCATGATTCGCGATGTGACCTGTATCTATTTCAAGGGTGTGCCACCGTTTTTAAGATAATCTTTTGTTGCCCTCGACCCCAAAACTGCTTCGGCATGCGACTGTCAGTGACGCTCGTCCGAGTGTGTACGCTGTGCCCCCCCCCCCGCAGAAAGTGTTGCTGGTGTAGCTTGAACAAGGCGCGCCGCGTCTCTTTTTTTACCTGTACGATATATTTTGTTTATTGTTCCCTAGCGCTGGTGCTGGTGCACCTTTTTCTTGAAAACAATTCCAGCTTTTGCACTCTTTTCTTTTGTTCTCTTTTTTTTGTTCTCTCTCTCGGTGGGAATCGACAACAAACAAAGTGACCCTTGGTGTGGTCTGGCCTTATGTTGTTGTGTTTTCATAGCTGTTTTATCGTTGTCCCGTCGAGCATCTCACGGGTGCTCCACACGCCGCTCGCATTGAAATCCACACCTGTCCGTGCCTTACCGTGTTGCTGGTACGCGTGACGAAATTTTCGGGCTTTCTGGCGAACGCGTTCGTGGTGTTCTGCATGGGGGGGAGGGGGTGTGGAGAGTGGGAGGCAGATTTTTGTCAGCGCTCTTTACCATGTTTGAAACCCGGATGGAGATGACGATGGTTTTGTTGTTGTGGGACGCGAGGATGTTCACGCGTGGCGACGTTCGATTGCGTGGTTGCATGCACGGCTTCGTAGGGGTGCCACATGTAAGATGGGTGGGCTACAGGGGTGTTTTGCTGTACTACCGTTTAGGATAGTCTGTTCTTGACTTTGCTTCCAAATGGAGAAATGGACTCCGCTTCCCGTTTTGTATATTTACTGTATTGTGATCCAGGCCCATCGCACTTGTTGCGAGACACACTATGCCGCTAGGCACTTGGGTTTGCTCACCAATGGTAAGACTCACCCTCTAGGCATTTTTTGCAGTTTTTTTTATTGGTTTTGGTACAGAAGTAGCCTCCTCTGGTCGTTTTTTTGTAGCCAAGGGAGTTCGTTCGTTGCTGCTTCGAAGAGCGTCGAAGAGGACGAAATGTTCTGAGCATCGGAACGGCGGTTTTAATGGTGCAGTCCGTAACAACTTTAACAACGAGTAAGCGAAGATCTTTTTCTCAAATATCTCAAATACATGGTGGAGGAGCGGGAAGGAGGGGATAGGGCGGGGCGTGCGCTCACGAGGATCGTCCCCAAACAGGATGAAAGATAGGTTTACTAGTTTGTGCTCGTGGGCAATCGTCATCCGCTCGAAGAGGAGCGAATCGAACGTGGTGACTGGCGGTTGCCACCATCCGCTCGAATTGGTCGGGATGGTCGGACGCATAGAGGGCCGAAGGTTGGCGCAGCTCTGCACGACTTCGGTGTAGCTCGTGATGGCGTTCTTCTCGCTTTGATCCGAAGAGTCCCGGAAAGGAAGAGGGATACGCGAGGAGAGAGAAAGCCCGCGTGCGACGAGTGAATACAGCGATTTACTGGAGGTCGCCCCCGTCGGCAACAGCACTCACAGCCGTGCACGACAGCGCTTGGTGGCCACGGTCGGTCGTGGCCTCACAATCTCGGTCGGTGTGGAGTTAATTTGAAGGAAAGAGCCGCCGCCTTGTCCATGGCAACACAGAGAATGTTCGGGTTCATTATTAACGAATGAACGACGATTGCCACACCATTTACGGTGACACCATTGAAGGCGCACGCACCGCAGCGGATATAAATATAATTTACGTGACGTTGACACGTGGGTCCCGAGAGTTGAGAAGCCCAATGGTAGGTGCTGTGCGTGATACTACTGCGAGCAATGGCGGTCGCAGATACAGGTGAAGTACCCGCCAGCGACAAGCTTGCAATGAACAGCAAATAATGTGCATCGCAAGAACAAGGACCCCCGTTATTACACGACTCAAGTTGGCATGCAGTACGCTACATAGCCTTCGGCGATGGGGCAACTAGAAACGACATTTATTTGTAATTCCGGATGTGGAAAATATCGAAATGATCATCATCCATGTGAAAACTCCAACGCACGATATTTCTTCTGTGCTCGCATGCGCTTCACTATGGCGCGGCGAACCCCAAGAGTTCCATCTCGTAAATCAAGGTGGCGTTCGCCGGCACTATCGGAGGGTAGCCGTTCATCCCGTACCCGTAGTCTGGCGGTACGGTCAACCGTATCTTCTGGTGAACGCTCATCTGCAAGGAGAGCGAAGATTCAGATAGAGACAGGGGGAGAGAGAGGAGGGAGGGGGAGAGACAGACAGACAGACAGACAGACAGACAGACAGAGAGATAAGTTAAAAAGCCGGGACGGGGGGCGGGGAGGCGTTGGGAACACACGCACTCACACACGCCCGACAATCCTCAACCGATATATGAACAGGGTCGGTTTCGTTCCCCAGGATGCAAACCGATGTTACCTGTCCTACACGCGTAGAAACAACCCCCCGGCATTGCACCGTGAGATCTCATTTACGCACCTGGAGTTATGTACGTCTAGTTGGAAGCCGCTCTACACTAAACACTGGAAGCTTGCCTTAGTTTCAGAGGAGTAGCGACACAAAGGGAACGCACACGCTTGCACACGTTCGCGTGGGACTTTGTGCGAAGATGGCTTAGTCCTTGCTCAGCTTGTAAAAGCACGTGCGCACCTTGGGGAGAACCTCTTCCCAACCTGAGATGAGTGGATGTTTGATATTGTCGCCGCCGCAAGATACCCCGAGAGAGAGAGAGAGAGACAGAGAGAAAGGTAAGATCAGCCCAGACGGCAACGAATGAATCATGTGTGTATGAATTATAGTGTGCGCTGAATCTTTCAGGTAGGTGCTTGCTTGTGCTGCTGCCGGCTTATATACTCCAAGCGAGCCAGAGGCTCATCATTCGTCCTTGCGCCATGTCCATGTATGTTGTTATCCTTCTGAGGGGAGGGGGTTCAATACCGGTGAGCAAACCGCGCTGTTCGAATCCATTTTGGGGTTGGTTGAGGTTATCAAGCAATCAATCTATTCCATCAAAGATGTCCAAGTTTGTGCCAATCACACATACATACATGACTGTACCTCTCACCTCTGATGAGTTGTCCAAGCCCGATCTTGCACTGGAGGGGCGTGTGCCTCGCATGGCTTGAATCAAAAACTGAATGGTCTGTTTCTAACTTCGGGAGATTTCGACGGGGGGAATTGGGGCGGGGGTTACTTTGACGACACCAACGTGAATACTCACGGTCAGCGAGAAATAGCAGCTGTGGTTGCCACTTGCGCTGATCGCTATGTAGATAAGAGCACCAAACCGGCATGATCTTTGTCGGTGTGTGCAAGTCAACGCGCATATTTTTTGTCGTGTGTGACCTGGAGCAGCAACTGTCGCAGCATCCGAAATGCAATGATTCGTGTGGAGATGCATTGCGTCCATTGTCCTTGGCGTGCGGAGCGATGGTGACATGCCCGGTCGAGTTTATGCTGCTGAACATATTTCCTGTATTCAACAGCGCGTCGAGCAGGGGACGAGGAACACAAGCGACCCCGTCCGCTCTGATACCGCAGAATGAAACAATGCGGTCTAGGCCAAATAGGGACTGAAGCTGCAGAAAGGGGCAGCGTATTTTACTTACCTTTCCGACGTAGTGGACGCTCACCGTGTACCCCTTGCGTGGGAAGTGGGTTGCATCGCTGGGTACCATAGCACCGCCACCCCAAGGCAGTAGGCAACACGCGTATCACCCGGTAGTGTGGAAAGGTGTTGAGCACAGGCGACACCAAGTTCAATTTATTGTCACATTTGATCCATCACGCTCTTCCATTTGTCATCAGCATGGTTGTCGTGTTGACACAACCTCGGGAGTGGACGGTCGCGTGCCGCTGGTGAGCACCTTAGGACGAACATACACATCGCGATGGCAGTGGGTGGTACCAAAGTACTAAAAGGGGTGTACGCTTAGATTGTGTATGAGTACCGGATCCAAAGATCGCGAACCAAGAGCGGTCGTTGGCAGTAGTATATTATGCAAATGGACGCAGGTCGGTCTCAAACCAAGATTCCACGAATCATAAGACGCGCCTTACCCAGGTCTCAACGTCACGTACGAGCACCCAGAGGAATTGGAATCGCCTTCCCCTTGGCCCTCGTCCGCCATGGCACGGGACCAGGGCTGAGAGGGACTGCAGCCGCGTGCAGAGTGCAGAGGGTCAACCCGAAAGAAACCAGAACGACAATCCTCCTGAACTATTTCAGGGTCCACTTGGAAATCAACACGACAACAATCTCCGACAGCATCCGCCGTAGATCGCGGCGAAACCAATAAACCGCTGTCTGTGTCCTGTGTGTCCTGTGCCTCGGAAGCATGATGCACGAGGCAGGTCGTGCCCGTTTTTCACTCTCTCTGTGCCTCTCTCTCTCGCTCTGTGCTTTTACTGATTAGTACCACACCGAAGCTCGCGCGTCAAGCGAGTCCGACCCTCTGTTGAGAGGGGCCGGTATCCTATGGAGGCGGTGTGCCCATGAACGATGAACGAGCGAGCGTTGTTGGTGGTTTGGTCGTGGTTATGTATGTGCGGTACAAGGTATGTGCGGTACATGGTATGTGCGGTACACGTTTTTTTCTGCGGGTTTTATGCCAGAGCGTCGGGCGCCGGGATTACATGACCATTTCTGGGTACAAAATCGACCTCTTCCGGGTACACCAGTAACTAATAACGGTCACACCAGAGGGTCCTAATTCCAGCGGAAGTTGTACCCGATGAAGGTTTCTTCAGAAGAAATGGGTAAAATGTTTTTTCGGCCAATCAGCTGATAGCCTGGGGGTTGTTGTTGTTGTTGTTGTTGTTGTTGTTGTTGTTGTTGTTGTTGTTGTTGTTGTTGTTGTTTTCTTCACATACATTAAAACCGTTCCGATCTCTCTCTACCCAGTACCTTCGTATGTCCGTACTGGTCCAAACACTCGACGCGGTCGATTCCCGTGGTCGCAGGCTAACTTACCCTAACTAAAAAGGTACATTCAAATAAAATGGCCCCAAGGGGTCCACAAGTCAATAGAGATCGGCAGATATTCTGGAGTCCTCCACTCCCTCTGCGCGCTATGCGAGGTAACAACTGAGACTAGGAGTCACCATCACGGGCCGGAGAGAATGAGGTACACCCCCTTGGTTCAATCTTGGTACTTCACAACGCAAACAGGGACAAGGCCATCTGGCACAGAAAAAGAGAAAAAGAGAAGAAAATGAAAGGAAACAAACAGGAACGAAAGAGAAAATAAAATAAAAAGAGCGAGGACAAAAAGGGACCAGGCCGAAAATAACAAGAAATACATGAGAGACAGAAAAAGGCACACGACGGTGGGGGGGGTGCAAGCGTGTTGATTTCTTAAGTGTACCCTAACGTAGTTGTTGTTGTTGTTTCGTTGTTTCTCACATTAGCTCTAAAAAAGATAGATTGGGAGCCCGTGGTCTCAAAACCTGGCATACACGACCCCACGAAGAAACAGAAAAAAATAGGGTACAAAAACCACTCGGAAGAGAAACAAAATGATAGAAAGAAAGACCAGCTACCGCACCAAACGAGAAAGAGCGTCGAGGAGACCGATCAAAATAAAATAAAAGGAGAACGGGGAACGCTTCCCACACCCGCCTACAACGCCGGAGGGTTCCGTGCCGGGTTCCCGCCGACCAGGCATCCCCCGCCCTGCACCACACCCCAGGGGGTGCAGCAAGACGGGGGGCGAAAAACAAACACATATATATTCCCACAAAAATGAAAAAAAATAAACTA